CTACTTTTGTCATGCCGCTGCTCGTAGTCAAGTCTGGCCGATCTTCTTGCAGCAAGAGCATTTTGGTCTATCGAGTCTTTACCAAGGATCTGAGCTTATTACTAGTATTACAGTGGTGGGATTTAAATAATTTAACAACCTATTCTCTGCCCTAATGACTGGCTGGGTGGGCGTGGCCATGGTGGGCGTGGCAGGCAGCACTCAGCCTCCTGCTCCCCCCTGGGAGCAAACATGGGCTGCGGGGGGGCACAGTGCCCCCCTGTGCTCCATTTTGGGCTTAGTAGGCCTCTCTGCAGCCTCCTGGGAGCAAAAACAGGCCTCAGGGGGGCCGTACCACCTCCCCGCGCCGTGTTTTGGGCCTATTAGGCATCCCTGCACTTACCTGGAAGCCAAATGGGGACTCCTGGAAGGGGTGGGGAGGGGAGGGGCGGAGCCAGCCAGCAATTTAACAACTGCTTCGCCCGAACCGGCTGAATCCCACCACTGTAGTATTAGTAATAAATTATTTGCCTTGCCTTGGAAGACCTGGCTGGAGAGGATGGTTTTGATCCAACAATTCAGTGGTTGAAGGAAAGCAATGCATAACATTTATTGTTGGGGTAGATGAAGGTCCATAGATGTGTTCTGCATAGAAGGACCCTATTTTGGTAAGAACTTAGTGCAATCTGACCCAGTCGCTAGAGGCCTCCGGACTACAGGTCCCAGAATCCCCTGGGGCCCTCACCATGTTCAAAGGACATCTGCTGTTCTGACTTGATTCTCATTGGCAAGAATTCTTCATTCTCCAAGCATGTTTCTCCTCATGAGTGACTCAGCTGGTGGGTCTGATGATGTCAGTTCAGTTGACTTGAGGAAGCCATGGCTTAGTGCCAGCGCAAAGTCGGTTTGTTTTAAGCCTCGTTCTTTCCCCAATTCTCTTTTTGTTGGCTTTTAAGCAGAAAACAGAAGCTGGGAAGTTCCTTTCTTGGCTGCAAAATGAGAAACGCAGTCATTGTAGTTGTGAAAGTGACTTTCGTTTTCATTTGTTCTTCACCACAGGCAGCACAGTTTGAAAACGAGACGCATTTCTTAATTTTGTGCCTCGCGAGGGAGATTTTTTTTACTCAAGGGTAAAATTTCTCGGGGGCATTAGATTGACAGCTGTGGTTCCCGATGCTTCTGATTCTGTCTCGGGAATAATTGCAAAGTCTCAAAAGTTAAAAGATAATTGCAAGGGAGGGAAGAGTGATTCCAAGCAAACTCTTAAGTTCATTTTGTTTCTTGGGGAAATAAAGTTTTGCGAATACATACCGTGTTTCCCCCAAAATAAGACCAGGTCTTATTTTCTTTTGACCTCAGAAAAAATGGCTAGGGCTTATTTTAGGGGCTAGGGCAGGGGTCAGCAACCTGCGGCTCCGGAGCCACATGCGGCTCTTTGGGCCCTCTGCTGTGGCTCTCTGTCAGGTGATCCCACCACTGGCTGGCCCTGCCCCTGCCCCTCGCCCTCCCCTCCCAGTCACTCCTCGCCTGGCCTGAGAAGGTAAGGGTGACGGCGGGGGATGGAGAAGCGGCCAGGGCAGAGACAGAGATACAGACAGAGAGGGAGAGAGAGAGAGACATAGAGAGATACAGAGAGAGAGGGAGAGAGAGAGAGACATACAGAGAGAGAGGGAGAGAGAGAGACATAGAGAGATACAGAGAGGGAGAGAGAGACAGAGATACAGAGAGAGGGAGAGAGAGACATAGAGAGATACAGAGAGAAGGAGAGAGAGACATAGAGAGATACAGAGAGAAGGGAGAGAGAGACATAGAGAGATACAGAGAGAGAGGGAGAGAGAGAGACATAGATACAGAGAGAGAGGGAGAGAGAGAGACATAGATACAGAGAGAGAGGGAGAGCGAGAGATAGAGAGATACAGAGAGAGAGGGAGAGAGAGACATAGATACAGAGAGAGAGGGAGAGAGAGAGAGACATAGAGAGATACAGAGAGGGAGGGAGAGAGAGAGAGACATAGATACAGAGAGAGAGGGAGAGGGAGGGAGGGGTGAGAGAGATATGTCAAAAGGGTTTTGTGGTTCCCGGTGTTTTTTAACAACTGGTTCTCTGCTCTAATGACCGGCTGGGTAGGCGTGGCTGGGGGGGGTCATGTGACTGGTGGAAGTGAGTGACATCGAGTTGGCCACGCCCACCTAGGTCTTGTGGTTCCTGGTGTTTTCTTTTCTGTGGGAAATGAGTCCAAATGGCTCTTTGAGTATTTAAGGTTGCAGACCCCTGGGCTTATTTTAGTGCATGCTAAATTAAGCATGATAGGGCTTAATTTCAGGGGAGGTCTTATTTTTGGGAAAACGTGGTATATACCTAAGATATGCTTGGGGGCAGAGTTGATTTTCCAGGTAATTTTGGGGGGAAAAGGCTTTTCCTCCGTTGAGGTAATTGGTGACACCTGTGTCCTCGGGATACGTCTTTTTCCTACCTTCGATAGTCGCAGACAAGCAGTTGGGGAACAGCAGAGAAATTTAACGGAGGCAAAATGCTAAGTTACACACTTGGGGGGAACAGCAGTCGAGTGGAGTAATATGGGCCTTGGCAATAACACTTCTGGAAAAAAGAAAAAAAAAGAATAGCAGGAGATTAGAAATGAGTCAGCAGCGTGACAGGATTACTAAAAACAGGAATGCAAATTGAAGCCGCCTGAACGGGGTTAATTGTTTTTACAAGACGAGGAGTCATCCCTTCCTCTTTATTTGGCTTTGATTAAAGTTTGAAGGATGCCAGCTAGTGGAGGTTGCCACATTGGCAACTGGGCGCTAGAAATGAAACCCTCTCACAGGGGTCAGCAACCTGTGGCTCTGGAGTCACATGCGGCTCTTTGGGCCCTCTGCTGTGGCTCCCTGTCAGGTGATCCCACCACTGGCTGTCCCCACCCCTCGCCTTTCCCTTCCAGTCACTCCTCGCCGGGCCTGAGAAGTGGGGGATGGAGAAGCGGCCAGGGCAGAGACAGGGAGATACAGAGAGAGGGGGAGAAAGAGAGACATAGAAAGATACAGAGAGAGAGGTAGAGAGACGGGGGAGGGAAGGGGAGAAGGAGGAGAGAAAGAGATATGTCAAAAGGGTTTTGTGGTTCCCGTTGTTTTTTAACAACCGGTTCTCTGCCCTTATGACCAGCTGGGTAGGCGTGGCTAAGGGGGATCACCCTTTCTGGATCGGGACGCCTTGCGCACGGTCACTCATGCCCTAGTCACCTCCCATATGGACTACTGTAATGCTCTCTACACGGGGGTCCCCTTGAAAAGCACCCGGAGGCTCCAACTGGTCCAGAATGTAGCCATGCGGGTGATTATGGGCGCAGCTCGTTACGCCCATGTAACACCTCTCCTACGCGAGCTGCACTGACTCCCGGTGGTCTTCCGGGTGCGATTCAAGGTGTTAGTTATCACCTTTAAAGCGCTCCATGGCTTAGGACCTGGGTACCTACGAGACCGTCTTTTGCCACCCATAGCCTCCCACCGACCAGTTCGTTCTCACAGGGAGGGACTACTCAGGGTACCGTCAGTCAAATTATGTCGACTGGCGACTCCCAGGGGGAGGGCCTTCTCTGTGGGGGCTCCAGCCCTTTGGAATGAACTGCCCCCGGAGATACGGAATATCCCTGATCTCCGTGCTTTCCGCCGTGCCCTCAAGACCCTGATGTTCCAACAGGCAGGGCTAAACATACAAACATGTGAACGTTTTTAAAATGTTATCTAATTTTAGGTTCTATTTAATTGGGCCAAACTATGTTATAATAATAATTTTAATTAGCAATTTTATGATGTTTGTGTATCTATATTTTTCTTGACTGTACACCGCCTTGAGTCCTACGGGAGAAAGGCGGTATAGAAATATAATAAATAATAAATAAATAAATAAATAAATAAATAAATAAATAAATAAATAAATAAATAAGACTGGTGGAAGTGAGTGACATCGAATTGGCCACACCCACCCAGGTTTTGTGGCTCCCTGTGTTTTCTTTTCTGTGGGAAACGGGTCCAAATGGCTCTTTGAGTATTTAAGGTTGCAGGCCCCTGCCCTATCAAGAAGAATGGAAGGGGCTTCCTTAGGAGAAGACTTGGTGGAATGCTAGAAAATGTCTGTTGTGGCCCGCCAGCTGCCAGCAGAGCTGGCGGCAGACTCGGACGATGAGGAGGTTGGGGAGGAACTTGGGCAGTTCTGGAGTCTGGGGAAGGCTGTGATGGATGCTGTGCATCGGACGCAGAGATAGAGCCAGGGCCGTCCGACCTTTCCCAGCCACCGGAGAGGCAGCTGCCTTTGGAGGCTGAGATGAGTGAGGAGGAGGAGGAAAAGCTGGGGCCGGTTCCAGATGCACATATGCGCAGAACAGTTAGGAGAGGAGAATAACGGAGGACAAGGAGTCGACTCGGGAAGCAAAGCACACATGGACATTGAATGGCCCCTCCCTGGCTGGGGAATAAATAGAAGGAAAGGGGATGGGTGGTCGTAGGAGACAACCATTTGCATTTCTGAAGATTTTGCTCATGGTGTTTCGTGCATCAAAGACTGCTGGCCAGAACTTAATTTGCAGCCTTTCCATGCGCAAGGAAACGATAAGGTCTGTTGCTGCCGTTAACTCCTTGCAGGACTCTTGCTTGGACTTTTCGGTGGGTGAATGCCATTAATTCACAAGAGGTAAATAAATTTCATGCCAAGGAGTCTGTTTCTTGCTTCTGCTAAGGCTGGGTCAGAACAACGTCCCTCGAAGGTTAGGAGAAACATCTGAAGAGCTTCCCCAGTTGGACAGTGGAGACAGTGACCCAGAGAGCGGTGAATGAATTCCCTTCGTTGGGTTGGTGAGGCTGGAGAACTGTCTATCGAGGTGGCTTCCTTTGGGTTCTTCCCATCGCCTGAACCATCTCTTCAAGGGTTCTCCTTGGGTTCAGTCTCGGGCCCTTGAGTTCTTCGGTGCTCCTCAGGTTCTCCTTTCATTCAGGCAGCCTCTTCTCTCTTCTCTCTTTGACAGCAATTGAACCATCCCAACATAATCAAGTATTTGGATTCGTTTATCGAAGACAACGAACTGAACATTGTACTGGAGCTTGCAGATGCTGGTGACCTTTCTCAGATGATTAAGGTGAGATCAGTTTGACGGTTTGGGATCCCCTTCTCTCCCTCCCTCCCTCCTTCCCTTCTTCTTGCTCTTAATTCACACCCAGGTTATTTTTCATACCTCCTTCCCTCCCTCTCTCCCTTCCTTCCTTCTTTCTTTCCCTATCTCCCTTCCTGTCATTTTATCTCTTTTCCTCCTTCATACCTCCCTCCCTATCATTTCAGACTCCTTCCTTCCCTCCCTTCTTCCTTCTCTTAATTCACACCCAGGATATTTTTCCTTCCTTCCTTCCTTCCTTCCTTCCTTCCTTCCTTCCTTCCTTCCTTCCTTCCTATCTCCTTCCTTCCTTCCTCCCTCCCTCCCTCCCTCCCTATCATTTCCATCTCCTTCCTTCCTTCCCTCCCTCCCTTTTTCCTTCTCTTAATTCACACCCAGGATATTTTCCATACCCCCTTTCCTCCCTCCCCCTCTCCCTTCCTTCTTTCCCTCCCTCCCTTCCTGTCATTTCATCTTCCTTCCTTCATCCCTCCCTCCCTATCATTTCAAACTCCTTCCTTCCTTCCCTCTCTCCCTCCTTCCTTCCTTCCTATCATTTTCATCTCCTTCCTTCCTTCCCTCCCTCCTTTCTTCCTTCTCTTCCCACCCACATTATTTCTCATACCTTCCTTCCTCCCTCCCTCCCCTCCCGCCCTCCCTGTCATTTCCATCTCCTTCCTTCCTTCCTTCCTTCCTTCCTTCCTTCCTTCCTTCCTTATCATTTCCATCTTCCTTCCTTCCCTCCCTCCTTTCTTCCTTCTCTTAATTCACACCCACGTTATTTCTCATACCTTCCTTCCTCCCTCCCCCTCCCCGCCCTCCCTGTCATTTCCATCTCCTTCCTCCTTCCTTCCTTCCTTCCTTCCTTCCTTCCTTCCTTCCTTCCTTCCTTCCTTTCCCTTCCCTTCCCTTCCCTTCCCTTCCCTTCCCTTCCCTTCCCTTCCCTTCCCAGCCAAAATGTTCAGAAGAACTTGTGAGCAGTTGGAAAACACATTCACCTACTCGCCAAACCCAGCCCCTGTTTAGCTGAGGCTCCGTCGCGCTCCTTATTTATGAGCATTATAAAACTGGTGTAACTTGGGGTTGCTAACTATACTACCCACTGGAGAATGCAGGCTTTACTGTTAAATGTCAGAGAAATCTTTTTGGACATGACATTTAAGAAGATTGCTAATTGTGGTCTGGAGTCGTCTTCTCTAGATACTTCAGCAAGAGCAAACCCACAATTTTTAGTAAATAACGCCTAGACTTTCTTCTCTTCCAACAATGTCATGGAGTAGGTTGCGTTTTGCAATGCCTCTGTGGTCTTGAACCATATCTATCTATCTATCTATCTATCTATCTATCTATCTATCTATCTATCTATCTATCTATCTATCTAATGTTTCCCTGAAAATAAGACCTATCCCCAAAATAAGACCTAGCATGTTTTTACACGTGCGCCTAATATAAGTCCTCCCCCCCAAAAAATAAGCCCTACTTAACAGCCTGTGCAGCTGGCCGGCCACTCACCCTTTCTGTTCTGCCCCAGCTACGGACCCCAAAGAACGCAGCACGCACAAAGTTTGTACAAACCTTAGTTTACTAAATTAAATCAGTCTTTTTCAAACAAAGGCTGTTAATTAACTTTCTTAACAGCCTACAAGAATCCAAAGAATAAATAATCGTAATCTTACTATGGTTGGCAGAAAGCCCAGAAGCAATTTGCAGGAAACTGATAAGAGAACTAAGATCCAGACACGAAGGAGAGTGAACGAAGTTGTTCCCTGCAAATTGCTTCAGTCGTCGTCCTTCCGTAAATAGGCTAAGGGAGTGGCCAATTAGCCCCAAGCCTTACTCTCGAGGAGACCTCCTCCTGAGGAGCCACTCCTGCCTTTTGGCAGCTCTGCGCACCCATGCATCGAGAAGAGGCTCCTCCTCTTCATCCTCTTCACTTCAGGGAGCTTCTGGAGGTTCTGAAGGGCCTGGCTGAATCCCCACCTCTGGCACCACATCTTCTCCAGCCTCCTCATTGTCTGACTGGGGTGCCAGCTGCACAGGCTGCTGGCGCATCACCACACCAGCCTCCTCACTGTCAGAATCAGCTACTAGCTGCACAGGCCGCTGACGGGCCACAACTCTTTCCATCTGGTTGCTCATGAGGGGAGGCAAGATGGTAGTGGAGCTGCCCCACGCTTCCTGCACTAGCTTACCTCAGGGCCCCCGCAACAAGGTCATCTACACCCCAACACCTGCCTCGTGATGTCAGCACCAACAGCTATGTGCAGCAGGAGCCCACATGGTCGCTGGCCCACTTCTTCTGCTTGCTTGTGGCCACAATGGAGCAGGAGGCTGAGTAGTGTGTAGGAGATGCGGCCACATGGTGAGGCAGGTGTTAGGGCATGGATGGCCTGGCTTTAGGGGCCCTGAGGTAAACCAGTGCAGGCACATGGGGCAGCTCCACCACCTCATGGCTGTGGGACCGGCACTTCGCTCGGCCTCCTGCTTCGTTTTGGCCATGAGCAAGCAGAAGAAGTGGGCCGGTGGCCGTGCGGGGTCCTGCTGGATGGGGCTGCTGGAGCTGCCCCCACAAGGCAAGGCAGGTGTCAGGGTGTGGGTGGCCTAGTTGCGAGGGCTGTGAGGTAAGCCAGTGTGGGGCACATGGAGCAGCTCCACACCCCTGCCTCATGGCAGTGGCACTGGCATACCATGCAGCCTCCTGCCCCACCGTGAGCAAACAGAAGGAGTGTGCCCCCCGTGCATGGGGGGGAAAATAAGACATCCTTCCCCGAAAATAAGGCCTAGTGATTATTTTGGGGCCCAAAAGAAAATAAAACTTGGTCTTATTTTCAGGGAAACACTCTCTCTCTGTCTCTCTGTCTCTGTCTCTGTCTCTGTCTCTCTGTGTGTGTCTCCATGTACCTCCCTCAGAGATGGCTCTTCTCAGAGACATGGATAAAAACCGCTGAGAATTGCGTGGTGGCTTAACGTTAAAATAGATACGAAGTGGAGATGGCTCTGTGGTTTGGCCCCAGCCATAAAAGGAGGGGGCTGTTTATGAAAACAGCTCAAAATAAAATACTAGGCGAACGAGTAAAATTGGCAAGATCCCCTTGTGTAATAGACCACACTTGCTTTTGCTAAAACTAAAGGAACAGGTCCAAAAAAAGCAGGTCCTTTCAATGAACTCGGATCCCCTAAATGGTAGATCCAGGAACTTTCTGGAACTTTCCAGCTTTCCATCCCATTTCCACACATCATAAAAGTGCCCGCTGGGGAATTCTGGGAGTTGAAGTCCGTACACGAACTGCCATCTGTCAGAAATGATATAGAGCGGTGTTGGCGAACCTTTTCAGCACCGAGGGCTGAAACGGGAGCACGTACGGGGAAGCACCGGAAACCGGAAGAGCAGTTCCCCAGCATGCATTTATGTGTTGGGAAGCTGAGCTTCCGGTTTCCAGCGTGCGTATGCGCGCCGGTCACCTGACCTTCTGGTTACTGGCACATGTGTGCCGGAAACCGAAAGCTCAGCTTCCTGGCGCGCACATGCGTACCCGGTGGCTGCTCTTACGGTTTCCGGCACTCCTGCGTGCACGACAACTAGTATGTGCACGCCAGAACCCGGAAGAGCAACAGGTGACAACTGGCATGCCTGGACAGATGGCCCTGTGTGCCACTTCTGGCACGTATGCCATAGGTTTGCCATCATGGGTATAGGGTCTCCTGCTTAGGTGGGGGATGGGACTAGATGATTTACAGCAGTGATGGCTAACCTTTTTGCCATCTCGTGCCAAAAGCGGGGGGAGCACGGGGGGTCATGTGTGTGCCCCATAATTCAAAGCGCCCTGCGTACCCGTGCATGCACACACTACCCCCCCCACGCTCTTCACGCTTTTGGCACGCGATGGTACGGTGGGCCAGATAGGCCCGTTTTTTTGCCCTCCCCAGGCTCCAGAAGCTTTCTTGGAGCCTGGGGAGGGCAAAAACAGCCTCCCCCCCCCCGGAGGCCTTCTGGAGGCCAGAAACAGCCCATCTCCCGACTTCCGGTGGGACTGGAAGGCCTGAAAATCAGCTGGCCGGTGCTTTTATGCGCACTGGAGCTGAGCTAGGGCAACATTGCATAAATACGTGCAAATAAATGAAATAAATAAATAAACACTCGCGTGCCCACAGATATGGCTCTGTGTGCCAACCTGTGGCACGCGTGCCATAGGTTCGCCATCACGGACCTACAAGGTCTCTTCCAACTCTGTTATTCTATACTCAATCCTTGGAACATCTTAAAAGTGCCGGTTGGGGAATTCTGGGAGTTGAAGTCCACATATCTTAAAAGTGTTAGCTGAGGAATTCTGGGAGTTGAAGTCCACGCATCTTAAAAGTGCTGGCTGGGGATTTCTGGGAGTTGAAGTCCACACATCTTAAAAGTGTTGGCTGAGGAATTCTGGGAGTTGAAGTCCACACATCCTAAAAGTGCTGGCTGGGGAATTCTGGGAGTTGAAGTCCACACATCTTAAAAGTGCCGGTTGGGGAATTCTGGGAGTTGAAGTCCACACATCTTAAAGGTGCAGAGTTGGGAAACGGTGATGACAAAGCTTCCCACTTCATTTTTTAACTCAGTTTGGGCTGACAGCTGCCTCAGTGTTGGGGAGGGGGGGAAACCCCTGGAAAATAGCGGAGGGGCATGAGAAGATCTGCAGCCTTGTCCAGCTCCATGGTCAGAAATGTACGTGTAACTTGGAAGCGCGTTGATTCACGCCACGCAAATCTGCACTTTTTAAAGAGCGGAATTCTGGTTTTTCCAGAGAGGATATTGTTTGGGGTTTAAGGTCAGCACTGGACAGACACACAGAGATTTGTGGTTAATTTGACACCAACATCTAAGGTCCCCTTGTCGCCAGCATTCTCCAGGATCTAACGCCGTATTTGCACGCTCAAGCCAAGCCTCTCTCTGAGTGGCAGAGAAAGCGGGGTTACAATCAGTACAACCTACTTGCTTGCAAACAGACCAAGAAAATCCTTGGCGACGTTAATAACCACCATGAATATCCAGGACTCGGGATTTTTTCCCCCCCCTTCCCGCACACAGAAACACACTCACATCCTTTGTTCCTCCTCAGGCAAAGCCTCTGCAGACATTTGTTGTTTCCCCGGCATTAAATATGTTCGGCAAGGTAATTAACAAGACGAAGGCTAATTATAATGGGTGTCCGTTCCGAAATGTCAAACCTATTGACGCTTCGTTTCCATAATGCTGTTAATGAGCCCCTCGCGCTAGGGGTCCGAACGGGCAAAAGGGGTTAAAATCTGGAACGGACTGAAATCCTTTTCCTGGTGGGCTCCGGGACTTTGGCCAGAGGGATCTCTTTCCCTCCCCCCTCTCTCTTTCTGTTTCTCTTCCTTTCTTTTCTCTCTCTCTCTGTCTCTCTCTCTCTGTGTGTTTCTGTTTCTCTCTCACTGTCCTGTCCCTGTCTCTGTTTCTTTTTTTGTTTCTCTCGCTCTCTCTGTATCTTTCTGTTTCTCTCTCTCTTTCTCTCTCCCTCCCTCTCTTTCTCTCTCTCTGTCTCTCTGTGTGTTTCTCTCTGTTTCTCTCGCGCTCTCTGTATCTTTGTTTTTCTCTTTTTCTCTCTCTCCCTCCCTCTTTCTCTCTGTGTCTCTCTCTTTCTTTCTCTCTGTTTCTCTCTCTCTGTGTGTGTTTGTTTCTCTCTCGCTGTCTCTGTCTCTGTTTCTGTTTCTCTCGCTCTCTCTGTATCTTTGTTTCTCTCTCTCTTTCTCTCTCCCTCCCTCTCTTTTTCTCTCTCTGTCTCTCTCTGTGCGTTTCTCTCTGTTTCTCTCTTTCTCTCACTGTCTCTCTCTTTCTCTGTTTCTCTGTTTCTGTTTCTCTCGCGCTCTTTATCTTTCTGTTCTCTCTCTCTCTCTCCCTCCCTCTTTCTTTCTCTCTCTCTCTCACTGTTTCTCTCTTTCCCTCTCTCTCTTTCTCTCTCCCTCTCCCTCTCTCTCTGTGTATCTCTCCCTCTCTCTGTGTGTATCTCTTTCTCTCTGATTCTCGGTTTCTCTCTTTCTCTCGCTGTCTTTCTTTCTCTCTGTTTCTCTCTGTTTCTGTTTCTCTCTCTCTCTGTATCTCTCTCTCTTTCTCTCTCCCTCTCTCTCTGTATCTCTCTCTTTCTCTCTCTCTCTCCCTCTCCCTCTTTCTCTCTGTTTCTCTCTCTGTGTATCTCTCTCTGATTCTCTGTTTCTCTTTCTCTCTCTCTTTTTCACACATACACACACAGAGAGAGAAAGATGTGTACGAGCGCTGCTGTTTCTTTCATCCAGTGTGCGTTTTGTTTCATTTGTCTTTTTTTCCTTTTTTTTGTCTTACTTCCTTCCCCCCCCCCACCCCCGTCCCAGTATTTTAAGAAGCAGAAACGGCTCATCCCCGAACGGACCGTCTGGAAATATTTTGTGCAGTTGTGCAGCGCGGTGGAACACATGCATTCCCGCAGGGTGATGCATAGAGGTAACCTGAAATTCGGCAGCTTTTTTTTTTTTTTTTTGTGGAATAACGGTTGCAAATTTGGAAGCGTCTGCCTTGCGAAACAATTAATGCTGATGCGCTGGCAAGTGGGGAGGGGGACAGCGATGCTGACTGAATGGATCTTTCCTCGCGTCCCGTTGCAAAGCATCCAGTCCGAACGGACCACTACCACAATAAGTACGGAGATGAATTCCCACCAGCCGTCAGGCCAAAAACTCAGGCGCAGCCCCCTCCCCTCCTTGGCATGCAGTGGAGGGGGGTTGTGGGGAGGGGGCAGCAGGGAGCCACGATCTCCTCTTTCTCTTTGGAGGGGGTCTTTGAAGATTTGGGACCCCAGGGAAAAAGAGAGATTTCGGGAAGATACCGAGTGTCAGAAAAGCTCGCCCTGGTTCTATTTTTTTTTTTTATTTGATTTATATGCCGCCCTTCTCCGGAGACTCAGGGCGGCTTACAATGCGCTAAGCAATAGCCTTCATACTTTTGTATATTTATACAAAGTCAGCTTATTGCTCCCACAAACCGGGTCCTCATTTTACCCACCTTAGAAAGGATGGAAGGCTGAGTCAACCTTGAGCCTTGGCGAGATTCGAACCTGCAGTAATTGCAGGCATCTGGTCTTAATAACCAGCTTAATAACAGGGTGCCTTAGACCACTGTACTACCAAGGCTCTTCACCATCCTTCTGGCGTTATCGGAATTAAGTAGGGGGTTTTAAATATTCTGCGCAGGGATGATTTCAGGTTTCCGGGAAAGTTAAAAAGGCTGGGGGGGGGGAGATAAAAGCAGTCTTCAGAGCATTTTAACCAGGGGTGAAATGTAAAATTTGTTACTACTGGTTCTGTGGGCGTGGCTTGGTTGAGGGGGGATGTAATGTGACTGGGTGGGCGTGGCCAACTTTTTTAAAAAAAAAACTTTTCAAAGCATTTTTCCTAATGCTTTGAAAAGCCTCTGCCGATCAGGCAACTCAGCTGGGATCGTCAGAGGCTTTTCAAAGCATTTTTTTTTTAACCACCTCTTCGGCCAAGAGGTTGCAGAAAAAAATGCTTTGAAAAGCCTCTGAGGATCCCAGCTGAGCCGTGTGATATCATCAGAGGCTTTTTTTACTTTGAAAAGCATTTTTTCGTCGGAAGAGATTGTAGAAAACATGTTTTTAAAAGGAAAAAAAAAAGCCTCTGATGATCGTGCGGCTCAGCTGGGCATGTTGGTGGTGGGGGAGGCAGGGATTTTTGCTACCAGTTCTCCGAACCACCCGCCACCATCGCTACCGGATTGGGCGATCCGGTCCGAACCGGCAGCATTTCACCCCTGATTTTAACGCCTGGTGGTCTCGCACTGTTTTTTAGCCAAGGTTTAAGCCATCGAGTTCTGCATTTTTGCAGGGAAGTTTTTAACGGCTTAGCCAGTGGCCCTTCCCCCCCCCCCAAGCTCAGCAGTGAGACGGGCCGTCCTCTAAATTTAATAAATCAATAAAATGAAATAAACCTTTCAGGACAGCCTGGAAAAGGGGCTAAGAAGGGCCTGTTTTAAATCAGCTGCGAGCCCCACCCCACCCCTAATATCTCGTGTGCGGATCAAAGCACCCTCCCTACTCATGGGGCAGGTTGATTGCTAGAGAAGCAACGGAAGGCTGTCGGATCCAAACATCTCTTTCTCTACTTCTGATTTTCTTTCTCTCTGTCTCTCTCTTTCTTTTCCTCTCCTCTCCCAGACATCAAACCAGCCAATGTGTTCATCACAGCTACTGGAGTCGTGAAGTTGGGAGACCTGGGCCTGGGGCGCTTCTTCAGCTCTAAAACCACGGCTGCACATTCCTTAGGTAAAGCAGGGGAGACCCCCCCACCCCCCTTTAACACCTGGTTCGGCCTGCATTGTGCATAGTCCTCACTTAGCACTTCCTTCTCTCTTCCCTTTCTCCTTTTCCCTTCTCTCTTTCCTCTTCCTTCTCCCGTCTCTTCTCTTTTTCATTTTCCCTTCTCCCTTCATTTCTCCCTTTCCACTTCTTTCTTCCTTCTCTACGCTCTTCTCCCTTATCTTTTTTCCCTTCTTTCTCCCTTCCTCCTTTTTTCCTTCTCCTCTCCCGTCTCCCCTCTTCCATTTCCTTTCTTCCTTCTCTTCTCCCTTTTCTTTTCTCCCTTTTCCCTTCTTCCTTCTCTTCTCCTTTCTCCTCTTCTCCCTTTTCCCTTCTTCCTTCTCCCTTCCCTTACTTCTCTACTTTCTTCTTCTCCATTCATTTCTCCCTTCTCTTATCTTCCCTTCCTTTCTTCTCCCCTTTCCCTTCTTCCTTCTCTTCTCCCTTCTCCCTTCCCTCTTCCTTCTCTCTCTCTTCTTCTCCCTTCACTTCTCCCTTCTCTTCTCTCCCCTTCTTTTCCCCTTTCCCTTCTTCCTTCTTCTCCCTTTTCCCTTCTTCCTTCTCCCTTCCCTCTTCCTTTTCTATTCTCTTTTCTCCCTTCACTTCTCCCTTCTCTTCTCTCCCCTTCTTCTCCCTTTTCCCTTCTTCCTTCTCCCTTCCCTCTTCCTTCTCTACTCTCTTCTTCTCCCTTCACTTCTCTATTCTCTCCCCTTCTTCTCCCCTTTCCCTTCTTCCTTCTCTTCTCCCTTCCCTCTTTCTTCTTCCTTCTCTACTCTTCTTCACCCTTCCCTTCTCCCTTCTTCTTCCCCTTTCTTCTCCCCTTTCCCTTCTTCCTTCTCTTCTCCCTTCCCTCTTCCTTCTTCCTTCTCTACTCTCTTCCTCACCCTTCCCTTCTTCTCTTCCCTTCTCCTCCCTTTTCCCTTCTTCCTTCTCCCTTCCCTCTTCCTTCTCCCTTCTCTACTCTCTTCTTCTCCCTTCCCTTCTCCCCTCTTCCCTTCTCTTCCCTTCTCCCTTTTAACAATCTCAGTGGGCTTTCACCTTCCTGCATCAATTTGTCCTGGAGGAGATCAACTAATCCCACTCCTGTTGCAACCCCAAACAGGAGGAGAAAGCAGGGCACAGCAGAGCTTCCTCTCACCCAGGGCCCAACAGAATCACTCCGAAATAATCTTGAAACACTCTGTCCTAAAACGACACCATTTTTCATTTCATTCATTGGCAGGTAGAGGTCAGGCCGGGTTGCCAAAAGTCACTTGACGGTGGGATGGGGTGGGGGCACCAATGTAATTGACTACAACTACCAAGGAAGCAAAAAAAAAAAAAAAGAGGATGACAAAGCTGATTTTTCTGAGCTCAGGGAGCTAAGTGGGGTCAAGCTATGCAGTAGGGAGCTGATAAAGAAATCCTACAAAATTCAGGGATTGGAGGCCGCCAGAACGAAGCGGCGATAACTGCTGAACGACGTCACAGTTTCCGTAAAGCCACCTGCAAATAGGCCAGAAGATTCTTCGCCACGACGGACGCAAAGCCCGTTTTGAGGCACAACGCTTTGATTTCGTTCCCTTTCGGGTTTTTTGCGGCCCTTAGAAAGAAGCCGAAAATTCGGCTTTCGGTGAAGTGGAAGACTTGCGATCAATGGGCCTTTGGAGGACAAATCTGTCAAAATTTCCTTCTTCTGGTGTTCGGGGAAAGGAGCTCCGGGAAGTTTAAAGCGAGAAACGACAAAGGTGCCCAGGTTGGCTCTGGCGATAGGAGGCCCTGGCAGGTTTACTCCCTTCAAAAGTGCCCTTTCTTCCAAAAAAATCCAGCGGTTTCCACGTGTGCCATTTCAACTCCCTTTTCCCAGTGGCGTAATATTGGCGGCTCTGGAATTTTTTTTTGCAGTTCGGTCACCAGCAAAAGAGGAGACGCATCCATGGCCCGATTTTTGTCTGTGATCCTGACTCCTTTCTATTTTTCCCGGTTGCCTCGGCAACCGTCCTGAACTCTAAATACCGAAGGCTTGGCAACCCACGCGCCGAGCAGTGGAGCTTATGCAAATAAATGCACCTGATTTTATTATTTTTCTCCCCCTTTCCTCCCTCCCTCCCTCCCTCCTCCTCCTCCTCCTCCTTCGTATTTGCCAACATCAAACCGGCATAAAAGGGCATTAGGCAGTGCCACAACTTGTCTGACAGGTGTACTCCTAGCTCCGGCAGGGCAGACGCCTTCGTGTCAGAAACAGAAGCCGTAATTAGAGCAAGGAAGAGGATGTACGTCAAACGCATTACCTGCCGGCGGATCAAATTTGTCAGGAAGGATCGCATACATAAAAACTAAGTGACAGGACATGCCGGGGTAATGAAAGAAAAAATGGAAGATTTGCCCGCGCGTTCTTCATCGGAGATGGGGAGGGAGACGGCTCGGCACGGCAAATTACGCAGACGGCTTGGGAGCATCGTGTGCCGCCCGCCTGTATTCAGGGGTGAGGCCCTGGCTTCAGCCAACAGCTGGCAGGAGAAACTTCGAAAGCCTTGTCAACTCCAGAGCTTTGAATTCATTAGAATCGTTCGAATAGAATAGAGATGGAAGGGACCTTGGAGGTCTTCTAGTCCAGCCCCCTGCTTAAGCAGGAGGACCTATACCATCTCGGACAAGTGACATGCGAGAAGTGAGCCTCTGCAGATGTTCCGATTGATCTGGTTTTGATCACCAGGCCAAAAAAGATTTAGAACAGGCAATGTCGTTCACTTTGGGGGCGACGTCATTGGAATGCAGCATTACATCGCCCCCAGACACACACACCGTCTTTTTCTAAACACAAGCTGGCTTTGTGTCAAGCCAAAGGGCAAAAAAAAAGGTTAGGTTTTTCCAAGAAAGAACAGACGATGTCGTGCACTTTGGGGGTGACGTTGTTGGAATGCAGCATTACGTCGTCCTGGTCTTTTCTTGGCCCCTAGCTGGCTCAGTGCCAGGCCGAAAAGGCAGAAAAGTCAGGCTTTCCCTAGAACGAATACAGGATGTCGTGCACTTTGGGGGCGACGTCGTTGGAATGTAGAATTATGTCACCCTAGTCCCGTGATGGGGAACCTATGGCACACGTGCCCAAAGTGGCACACGGAAGCCATGTCGCTTGGCACGCACGGCCTTGCCTGTTTGTCTTCCGGGTTTCTGGAGTGCATGCACATGTGACGATCAGCTGTTCTTTGCTCGTGCACGGCAGTGCTGAAAACCAGTGTGCGCATGTGTGCCAACCAGCTGATCATTGGGTGCACATGCATGCCAGAACCTGGAAGTTTGGCTTTTCCAGAGTGTGGCCCCTGCGAGCGAGCATGCAATGTTTCCACGCGACCTTTTCGGCACTCGGTGCCAAAAAGGTTCGCCATCACTGCCCTAGTCTTTACTTATCCCGTGGTTGGCATGGTGCCAAGCAAAAGTCAAAAAAGTCAGGCTTGCCCTGGAAAGAACAGGCAATGTCGTGCACTTTGGGAGCGACGTCGTCCGGATGCAGCATTAACATCACCCCAGTAAAGCCAAGCTTTGCAGATTCTAATTTCCTTCTCTCGATTTCTCTGTTACAGTGGGAACACCATATTATATGTCCCCGGAAAGAATACATGAAAATGGCTATAATTTTAAATCAGATATCTGGTCTTTGGGCTGTTTACTGTACGAGGTAAGTCACTGTTACTGCTTTTCTGTAATATGGAACCAGAGATATAAAGCATAGCGCTCAATTTAACAACCACGATGTATCCTACCTACCATGGTCATAAATTATGACGGTCGTAAAATGAGGTCACCCGTAGGGCCGGTCCAATTTTACAACCTTTTTTCCAGTGGGTCATTAATTTCCCATCTATCTTGAGTCAATACCCTCAGTGCACCTTACAATTCGATACAGAAAGAAATATATTACCATTAAAAATATCCTTTGTCCGGCTTACAATTCAATACAGGGAAATATATACCCTGTTTCCCCGAAAATAAGACATCCCCTGATAATAAGCCCAATCGGGCTTTTGAGCGCATGCACTAAAATAAGCCCCCCCCCCGAAAATAAGCTCTCCCTGAAAATATTTAAACACACGGCTGGAAATCAGGTAAGATGACAAGAGGAGCCCCATCTTGCTCCATGCACCCCAAAATAATAAGACCTCCCTGAAAATAAGTGCTTATTTCGGGGTTCAAAAAAATATAAGACAGGGTCTTATTTTCGGGGAAACATGGTACACAAACACACACACACACATATATATATATCAAATTTATTTTGCTCATAAAGAAATAAAGGGAGACTAGTATAGATCTATTTCAAGCTATTTAGCTCTCATCAGCTAGCCATACCCTTACTCGGATTCGAACTTGGGCTTCCTGCATGTTAGGCAGTTGAATTAACCTCTGAGCCACAAGTTCTCCTCCCTTCATCAGCTTGAGCCAGGGGAAAGATTAAGTGTTTTTCTATCGAGACACCTGGTCTACCCCAACATGTGGGAGGGGCATTCTGCTCCCTTTCGCCTTTCAGCTCCAATCCAGGAGCCCTCAAGCAGTTGCATTCACGACAAACTATTTTATACCAAATTTATTTTGCTGATAAAGAAATAAAGGGAGACTAGTATAAATCTATTTCAAGCTATTTAGCTCTCATCAGCTAGCCATACCCTTACTTGGATTCTTCAGACAGCAAGCAAGCATTTTGCTGCCTATTGGAAGACTAATATAGATCTATTTTGGACTGATTGGTCCTCATCAGTTAGCCACACCCTTACCATATATTCCCTCCCCGTAGAGGCTAATAATTTGCTTTCTTCTTTTGTCATAGGTTCCTTCCTTCTTTCCTTCCTTCCTTCCTTCCCTCCCTCCCTCCCTCCTTCCTTCCCTCCCTCCCTCCCTCACTCACTCACTCATTCACTCCTTCCTTCCTTCCTTCTTTCTGACTAACAGGTTTCTTTAGCCGGCCCCATAGATTTTCAATTGGGTGAAGATCTGGGCTATTCCCAGTAGTGGAATAGAATTATCTTGAAACTCAAAAAAAAGGGGGGGAAAAGTGGTGTCATTAGCCTTCAAACCTCAAAAATACTCTTTCCCCAAAAGGTTCCCACAATTTTGGCCACTACTCTACACGCATTCATTCCTGTCGGTTCTTCAAGCAGATCTTTGTGACGGATCTTTAAATTCTGGAGAAATGTCTCAAATTATGCTTACCTTTCCCCCCCCCCCCCCCCCCCCCCCCCCATGGAATTTGGACAAAGGACAAGAGATCTGTCCCAAGAAAAAAAAACGAAACAAACCCAGAGCTTTTCATTTTGAGAGACTCGGTTGGTAAAAGCGATGCTTGATTGTAGACAGAAGTCCCAGGTGTAACAAGCGCTTGTTTTAACAAGGCCAGTTGTGCCGTTTTCAGACCGAGTCGCCCAGCAGTTCGATAGGTGCTGATTAATTTGTTGACGATACACCAAAGCGTCACGCGGGCAAAAGCGAGCAGCTCGAGAAGGATCGGAGCAGAGAAGTCGATAACACAAAATCGATGCGCTGCGGTGGTTGGGGATTAAGGGAAGAGAGTCGCGACGTAACTTTCATGGCCTTTTACTCATCCGGGGACGAGCTCCAGCGCTGGTGTTTCCCTTGCCAGCACCCAACCAAAGCCAGTTGTGTTTTTTTTTTTCCTCCTAATGTGGTTAGGGGCAGGGGTGAAATCCACATTTTTCTTTACTAGCGGTTCTGTGGGCGTGGCTTGGTGGGCGTGGTAGGAGAAGGATACTGTAAAATCTCCATTCCCATCTCACTCCAGGGGAAGGATACTGTAAAATCTCCATTCCCACCCCACTCCTGGGGAGGGATACTGTAAAATTTCCATTCCCACCCCACTCCTGGGGGAAGGATACTGCAAAATCTCCATTCCCACCCCACTCCAGGGGAAGGATACTGTGAAATCTCCATTCCTATCCCACTCCAGGGGAAGGATATTGTAAAATCTCCATTCCCATCCCACTCCAGGGGAGGGATACTGTAAAATCTCCATTCCCACCCCACTCCAGGGGAAGGATACTGCAAAATCTCCATTCCCATCCCACTCCAGGGGAAGGATACTGCAAAATCTCCATTCCCACCCCACTCCAGGGGAAGGATACTGTAAAATCTCCATTCCCACCCCACTCCAGGGGAAGGATACTGCAAAATCCCCATTCCCTCCTCACCCCACTAACCATGGATTAGAAAGGTCGGCAGTTCGAATTCCTAGTGCAGGACTCCTGCGTGAGTAGGGGGTTGGACTGGATGACCTCCAAGGTCCCTTCCAGTAACTCTGTTACTGCTAAAACTGTCGCCTGGCTTTTTAAAGATGACAAGGAGAAGCATCATTTCTGGCAGGGAGAAAGTTATTTTCCTTGTCCTCTTTTCTCATTCTCTTCCTTTCCCCGCCATGCGAAACCGAGAGGGAGATTTTTTTTTTTTTTATTTATCTGCAGATCGCTGGGAGGCAGGCGTGCCAGTCGGAATTCACTTCCTTATTATTATTATTATTTCAACCTGGAGGGTGTTTACTGTGCACGATTTCAAATTATGCCACCTTATCTTGACGTTTTGCAGGGCCCCGCGTTGATGTACGAGGACGCATCTGATCAAAATTGTGCATGTGGGTGTGGGTGAAGGCCCCCCCCCCACACTTCTCTTGGAGACGTGTCATCCAGATAACTTGCAAGAGATCAAAGTTAGTTCTCTCTCTCTCTCTCTCTCCTTTCTCAAAAAGAAAGAAAGAAAGAAAGAAAGAGGAAGGAAGGAAGGAAGAGAAAGGAAGGAAGGAAGAGGAAGGAAGGAAGGAAGGAAGGAAGAAAGAAAGAAAGAAAGAAAGAAAGAAAGGAAGGAAGGAAGGAAGGAAGGAAGGAAGGAAGGAAGGAAGGAAGGAAGGAAGGAAGAGAAAGGAAGGAAGGAAGGAAGGAAGAGAAAGGAAGGAAGGAAGAGAAAGGAAGGAAGAAAGAAAGGGAGGGAGAGAGAGAGAAAGAAAGAGAAAAAAATAGCTGGGAGCGTCGACAGCTTTCGCGATTCTTAACCAGACGATCCCCGTTTGCCAGCAGAGAGCGGCTTGGGGGTGAAAGGATCTGGCAGGGCTTCTCTGACGGTCCTCGCTCAAATTTCAGATCAAGAAGGTGGTTTGGGGGTGTCTACCCAGGGGACGCAGTGGCTCAGTGGCTCAGACACTGAGCTTATCGATCAGAAGGTCGGCAGTTCAGCGGTTCGAGTCCCTAGCGCCGCGTAACGGGGTGAGCTCCTGTGACTTGTCCCAGCTTCTGCCAACCTAGCAGTTCGAAAGCACGTAAAAAATGCAAGGAGAAAAATAGGGGCCACCTTTGGTGGGAAGGGAACACCTTTGGCGTTGAGTCATGCCGGCCACATGACCACGGAGATATCTTCGGACAGCGCTGGCTCTTCGGCTTTGAAACGGAGAGGAGCACTGCCCCCCTAGAGTTGGGAACAACTAGCACATATGTGCGAGGGGAACCTTCCAGAAACCGGGCCACGCAAACAAGCGAAGCCCCATCCTTGAGATGCAGGCAGGACATGAAATCACGTCCCTTCCGGTCCACGGAAAAAAACCTCTGTCCACAGAACTGGTGCCCAAAAAGGTTGGAGGACGCTGGTCTAGAAGGCAAAATCAGGACAGCGGTGTCCAAAGTTCTGCTGGGCATCTGGACCAGCTCATGTTTAGAAGACAACTGGATGCTATCAGGCTTGGGGGTCCTTAAGACAGCGAGTGTCAGGGTTGCAAGCAACACCCCCAACGAAAGAAAGAAGACTCCGAGGCATGAAGTTCCTCAAAGTTCCAATTTATTAGCGATGTCATATTGGCACATCTGGGAAAACCTGAAAGCTTCTAGGTTTACCCCACCCAAAGGGAAGTCCAAGTCCCTGCCTAAGACCCACATGTCCATCACATGGTCCAATCAAAACACCGTCCCAACTGGAGATGCCTCCCAGTTCCAGCCATCCAGGTGCAGGGCAAGACGTCCTTGACTCTCGGAGAAAGGAATGTTATTATGACTACGTATCACCCTTGCTCCATACAATCCCCCCTCCCAGTTTCCCAGAGTAGGAAATGTGGCAGGCCTGAAGATCCGAGGAGAAAGATGGCTTCCAGGCCTTGACAGCAAGGTCCTTGAGTTGACAAACTTGCCTCAAGAGCTGCTCTCTAAATCTTTTAACGGATTAACAGATGAACAGAGGTGGAAGGGACCTTATAGATCATCTAGTCCACCCCCCCTTCAAGCAGGAGACCCTACACCATTTCTAACAGATGGCAGTCCAGTATTTTCCTGAAAATCTCAAGTAGTGAAACTCCCACAATTATTTTTTTTAAAATTTGATTTATATGCCGCCCTTCTCCGGAGACTCAGGGCGTCTTACAATGCGTTAAGCAATAGCCTTCATACTTTTGTATATTTATACAAAGTCAGCTTATTGCCTCCACAATCTGGGTCCTCATTTTACCTACCTTAGAAAGGATGGAAGGCTGAGTCAACCTTGAGCCTGGGGAGATTCGAACTTACAGTAATTGCAGGCAGCTGATGTTAATAACTGTTAATAACAGTGCTTTAGTCTGCCGTGCTACCAGGCTCTTTTTTCCAAAGAGCAACTTCTGTTCCATGGGTTGATTGCTCTCCCTGTCAGAAAATTCCTCCTTATTTCCAGATTGAATCTCTCCTTGATCAGTTTCCATCCATTATTCCTTGTCTGGCCTTCAGGTGCTTTGGAGAATAGCTTGACCCCCTTCCTCCTCTCTGTGGCAGCACCTCAAATAGTGGAAGACTGCTATCCTGTCTCCCCTGGTCCTTCTCTTCCCTAGACTAGCCATGCCCGGTTCCTGCAACCGTTCATCGTATGTTTCAGCCTCCAGTCCCCTAATCATCCTGGTTGCTCTTCTCTGCACTCTTTCTAGAGTCTCAACCTCTTTTTTATAGTGTGGTGACCAAAACTGGATGCGGTACTCTAGGTGTGGCCTTACTAAGGCTTTATAGGGTGGTATTAGTACCTCTCTTGATCTTGATTGTATCCCTCTGTTAATGCAATTTAGGATTGCCTTGGCTTTTTTGGCTGCCGCCGCACACTGCTGGCTCCTATTTAACTGGTTGTCCACTAAGACTCCAAGATTCCTCTCACTGTCACTGCTATTAAGCCTGGTTTCACCCAGAAATTTAGACCAGTAGAACCGTCCGTCTCTTCCTTGAGAAGATGGGAGAAGCAGGTATGGACCATTGGTGACCCATCTGCTAAGCCGGCGTGGGTTCCTCTCCGTTCTCGCCTTTTCCTTGACCTGGAGCAAATATCAAGCGAGGCTTTGCATGGTTGAAAATTCCCCCTTTTTTCTTCCCAAAACTAGCCTTTTGATAAGAAGACACTCTTTGTAGCTCGGTGGTTGAACTGCCGATGACTTAACCACAATCAAACTCCTAATTAAAGCCGGGAGCCCAGAAGAAGACAAAGGTCCCTCCTGGCCTCAAAACGAGTTGGGGGGGAAAAAGGGATTATCCGGCCAGAGTGGATAATATCCACAATTATCCAATACTGCTTAATGAGGAGGAGGAGGGGGGGGGTGTCTTTCATCATCTGGGGTAGCAAGACTGACAGAGAATCCTTGAATGGCATTAAGGATTAATAAGTCGCTGGGTCTGCCGAGGGGACCGGGGATGGGGAGGTGGGTGTGGGGGCTGCCTTGCCCACCGAGCTTGGCGTGGCTTGCCGGCTTGCGGCATTGTAGCGGATTCGAACCGCTGAACTGCCGACCTTTCGATCGGCAAGCTCAGCGTCTTACTCCCTGAGCCACCGCGTCCCCTGCTTAAAATAGTATATATGTTGTTTTGCTTTTAACTTTTGTTTCATGGCAAGTGGAATTCCAGGGCAATTACACCGTATTCAATATATTTATATGTAAACGTTGTTTTTTTTAAAAAAAGGGAGATTTTGATCCGGATATTTGGCTAACAAAATCTCTACGTTTTGAAGACTGGCAGGAATGGATTCTGCCAGCCTTTAGTGGACAGTGTTGTGGCTCCGTTACCGGAGCCTGTGTCATCGGCAGGAGAGGACTCCGAGAGTGAAGGAGAGGAGTTGGCAAGCCTCCCTCTCCAGGACCCTCCTCTCTGGCAATGCCTTCGGTGTCCATTGAAGAGCAAGAGATAGGGCCGGGGCCAAGCATGTCCACGCAGCCACAGGTGGACAGTGATGAGGGTAATGAGTCTTGGCTGGATCCACGCCAGCGTCGCAGAGATAAGCGCGCGCAACAGAAGGCGTGCCCGAGATTAGGCTGAGTCACTGGACCACACCCCACAGGGTATAAAAGGGAGCGTGGTGGCCAGGCAAACCTTGTGACAAACAAAGCTGAAAGCTTCCACGCCATTCTGCATTGCCGGACTTTTGCTATAGACTTTGCTGGATTATCTTTGGACTTGATTTACTCTGTAGTTATTGAGCTGCTTTCCTTTGATGTACCAGAAGCGGGGAGAAGTTATCTCTCCTCTTCGTAAGTAATAAACTCTTGGCAGGCAGCCACTAGGTTGTTGCCAAGTTCCGTTATCATAAGGAAAAGGATTTTGTCGGCTGGTTTGGTCTTTAACTCTTGAACGTCTGTTGGTGTGTGTGCGTGTGGGACGGGGACAGAACAGACATCTCCTCCCGAGACCTCTCCTGCCTCCCTCGCTCATCAAACCACTCAAAACCAAATGATTTTTTAAATGTTATCTAATTCTGGGTTTTATTTAATTGACCAAACTAAGTAATAATTTTAATTAGCAATTTTATGATGTTTGTGTGTCTATATTTTTCTTGACTGTACACTGCCTTGAGTCCTACGGGAGAAAGGCGGTATAGAAATATAATAAATAAATAAATAAATAAAATAAATAAACCTCTTTCTCCTTCCAGATGGCAGCTCTTCAGAGCCCCTTCTACGGCGATAAAATGAACCTTTTCTCCCTCTGCCAGAAAATCGAACAGTGCGACTACCCACCTCTGCCAACCGAACATTACTCCGAGAAGGTAAGAATGCTGGCCGGAGCGCAGAACTTCTGCCTGCTACCGAAGCCTCGATATGGGGAGAAGCTTGCAAAGTCACGCCAGGAAAAAAAAAATAATAATTTCCTGTTGGATTTTCAAGCTGGGTGCAAATTGTGGGCTGGGGGCAGTTGGGGGGGGGGTCTTTGGAAGCAGGAGGGTTTCGAGGATGCCAGGGAGAGGAGGAGGAGGGTACCATGGAGGGGGTGTTTCCTGGCTTAGGTTCCTTCCCCAGGTATGGTTGCCTGGCGTAGCTGGCCCCAGCCGCCGTCCGGGGAGTTTTGATATCTAACATAATCTCATTAAGTTTTTGGATCATTTGAAGGCAGGAATGGCTTTTAAGGGAGTTTCAAAGAGCCGGCTTGGCTTGATCTTAAATCGCTTGCGAAATGTACCAGGTGAAAAGGGAAGGCGAGGAGGAGGGCATCCTTGGGAGTTGGCTGTCTTGCTTCTTTTCTGCGCCCAGCCAAAACAGCAAAAAAAGTAGAACCAGTTTAAACTTGGCAAGACAAACTTGGTTGTGAGATGGCTGCTCCCTTGGAAGTCCACCCGCTGCTCTCCATGAATGCAGAGGTGGTCTTCTCAGGATCCTATACCCAAACTTCCTCTCGGGTAGGCCTGCCCTGTTAGGAAAACCAGGATCTGTTAGGTTAGCTGGTGCAGAATCCAGATTCTCTCTGGAGGAAAAAGAAAAGACAGTAAAGAGAGGGTCACCTTATTCTCCAAAGCACCTGAAGGCAGGAGAAGAAGCAATGGATGGAAACTAACTGACGAGAGAAGCAATCTGGAATTAAGGAGAAACTTCCTAACAGTGAGGACAATTAACCAGTGGAACAGCTTGCCACCAGAAATCGTGGCCGCTGCATCACTGGAGGTTTTTAAGAAGAGACTGGACCATCACTTGTCTGAAATGGTGTAGGGTCTCCTGCTTGAGCAGAGGGCTGGACTAGAAGACCTCCAAGGCCCCTTCCAATTCCTATTCTATTCTATTCTATTCTATTCTATTCTATTCTATTCTATTCTATTCTATTCTATTCCATTCTATTCCTTTTCTCTACTCCTCTCTTCTCTTCTCTTCTCTTCTCCTCCTCTCCTCTCCTCTCCTCTCCCCTCTTCTCTTCTCTTCTCCCCTCCCCTCCCCTCCCCTATTCTATTCTATTCTATTCTATCCTATTCATATTCTATTTTCTATTCTATTCTATTCTATTCAAATTATTCTATTCTATTCAAACTATTCTATTCTATTCAAATTATTTTATTCATATTCTATGCTATTCATATTATTCAATTCTATTCATATTCTATTTTCTTTTTTAAAAACCTCCAGTGATGGAGCCCCCACAATTTCTGTTGGCAAGCTGTTCCACTGGTTAATTGTCTCCCTGTTAGGAAGTTTCTCCTTAATTCCAGGTTGCTTCTCTCTTTGATTAGTTTCCATCCATAGTTTCTTGTCCCTGCCTTCTGGTGCTTTGGAAAATAAGTTGACCCCTCCTCTTCTTTGGGACAGCCCCTCAAATACTGGAATATTGCTATCATGTCCCCCCCCCCCTACTCCTTCTTTTCTCTACACTGGCCAAACCCAAATCCTGCAAATGTTCTTCCTATGTGTTAGTCTCCGGGCCTTTTAATCAATTTAGTTGCTCTTCTCTGAACTTTTTCCAAAGTCTCAACATCTTTTTTTTGTAACGCGGTGACCAAAATTGGTAGCAGCATTCCAGGAGCGGCTGTCAGGTCTCGATGTCATCTCAAATAAATTGCACTCCCAAACAATTAATCTTTGCTGAAATATTCCATTTATTGAGTACGACAGATCTGGCCCCGACTTCGTCGTAGCCGATACTAACCCTCTGACCCCCAAACCCTTCCCTTTCCGTTCCCCAATTCTCATCTTCTCATTGGCCATCTTCCAAGTCAGTCTCCCCAGCTTCTGACCTCAACGCACAGGAATGTTCCCCCCTCCCATCCCATCTCCTAGGGGATATTATCTACAGAGAAAATAAGTAGGTGAAAAGTCAAGCCTCGTCTTTTTATGGCAGCATCAGAATGCTGACAGTGGCCTTACTCGGGGGTTTTATAAAGCGGTACGAACCCTTCACGCAATCTCGATTCCGTGCCTCCAAAGCCATGCGATTTGAGCGCAGGTGTAGAACAAGGTCCCGGGGTTGAACCTCTTGACAGCTCCATCCAAATTGCCCTGGGGCCAGTCCTCGCCCCCACCTCCTGCCCTCAGCCCTCCTAGGCCATTGACCTCTCCCTGGAAAGCATCGCTCGATCCACCAGGCCTGGATGCGGGACAGCCATCTTTCTAATTAACCATTAAAATAATTACCTCTCTGGCTGCTGAGAGAGGGAGAGGGGGGAGATGGAAGATCAAGCGGTCCACGGCTGTTTTTCCTCGATGCCACAGGGTATACGCGCCGCTTCCCGGGGCTTGTAATTAAAAGCGCCCGGTCTTTCAAGTACAAAATGAAAAGAGCCAGAGGGTGTGTGTGTGTGTGTAGGATGGCTCTTCTCCGCCCGTTGATTATGCGAGCAAAGGAGCAAGTGGGTCACCGTGGGGCAGGTTGTCCATCTCAAGTAGCTTCCCAGGGCCAGAAGGAAACTCTTTGCAGGAAGAAGTTTCTGGGAGAACGAGTCGGCTCCGTCAGAAGATGCTGGGGAAACATCTCACTCTTTCTTTCTGAGCATCCCACCACGTGGCTCCAGCCCAATAACTCTCTGGGAAAAACGGCCCAAAGTCCCGTTTTGAATCCCGCCAGAAAAGCTAGCCAAGCATTCCTTGGGTTGAAGGACCTCTAATGGGTGTTCTCCAAGCATTCTAGGCTCCCTCCTGGAAATTCCCATTTATGTAGATAGATAGATAGATAGATAGATAGATAGATAGATAGATAGATAGATACAGACAGATAGTTGGGAGAGATAGATAGATAGATAGATAGATAGATAGATAGATAGATAGATGATGGATAGATGGATGGATGGATGGATGAGAGAGAGAGAGATAGGGATAGAGAGATAAGCAACAAATCATCAATCATGATCATAATCACAAAATTCAGTCATCATAAATCAAGAGACAGCACTCCGTGATAGTCATCCGATACTAAAGAAGCAATCAACGTAAATCATAATAGGGCACTAAACAAAAGCAATCAACAAAAATCATAAGAGACAACTCACAAAGTGATAGTCATAAGAAGCTAAGGAAATAGGTAATAGGAAAGATGAAAGATGAAAAGGATAATAGTAACGCAGCCTTACTTGAAATCCTAGAGCACACAACGGTGTTATGGGAATTAGTTGGTCAGCAGAGTGATGGTATAGGGGGAGAAACTGTCCTTGGGTCTAATAATTTTGGCATGCAGTGCCCTTTCCACTACCAGATCAAAATTTCCACTACCGATTCTCCAGAACCTGCTGGATTTCACCCCCTGCTTTAGCATCAACTTGAGAATTTATGTCCAGGATGCGATGGGTCCCTAGATATTTTCACGGCCCTCCTTCTGGCTCGTGCAGTATACGGATCCTCAGTGGAAGGCAAGATGGTTGCGATTGTTTGTTTTTTTTCTGCAGTCTTAACTATCCGTTGAAGTCTGTGTCTGTCTTATTTGGTTGCTGTGCCAAACCAGACAGTTACAGAGGTGCCAACGACACACTGAATAATTCCTGGAAAAAGTGCAGAGAAGAGAAACCAAGATGATGAGGGGACTGGAGGCTAAAACAGGCGATGAACGGTTGCAGGAACTGGGCATGGCTAGTCTAGTGAAGAGAAGGACCAGGGGAGACAGGATAGCTGCCTTCCAATATTTGAGGGGCTGCCACAGAGAGGAGGGGGCCAAGCTATTCTCCAAAGCACCTGAAGGCCAGACAAGGAATAATAATGGATGGAAACTGATCAAGGAGAGGTTCAACCTGGAAATAAGGAGGAATTTTCTGACAGAGCAATCAACCAACGCAGAGGTGTCAAAGTCGATTTCATTGAGGGCCACACATCAGGGTTGTGTTTGACCACAAGGGGCTGGGTGTGTAGCTGGGATGGGCATGGCCAGCTCAACATCACTGGTTGAGGCTCCGCTTTCAGCTGTGACGGCCTCCTGCAGTCTTCTGCCAGCAAAAACGGAGCCCAGAGGGGCCGTGCATGGCCTGCCCGGGCTCCATTTTCAGCTGTGACGGCCTCCCCGAGCTCTGTTTCTGCTGGCAGAGGGCTGCAGGAGGCTGTCACAGCTGAAAACGGAGCCTGGGAGGGCGACGCGCGGCCCTCCCAAGCTCCGTTTTCGCTGGCAGAAGCACCGCCAGTCCTTCGCTGTTTCCAGGGTGGCCCCGCGGGCCAGATCTAAGCACCCCACGGGCCAGATCCTATTAATTGTACTGTTCTCTCCTGTTGATTCTACCATTGTTGTGGCTTCCCCCACATCTGTATGGTCCAGATCAGGGCTGTCAAATTGGATTTCTTTGAGGGCCGGATCAGCATTGTAGTTCTCTGCGGGCCGGTGGGTGCGGAGTGGGGGCAAGACGGGACGGGACAGACGCCTCCTGCAACACTTTACCGGCCAAAAGGGGCGTGGGGGCCGCGTATCCCCCCCCCCACATCTTGTTTTCGCCCTCCATGACCTGCAGCATTCTGCAGGCCAAAAACGGGCCTCCTGAGGCTCGTGTGGTCCATTTTCAGCCGGCGGAGGCACCACAGGCTGATCCTTTTGATATTCTCAGGCTAGTCCAGCGGGCCAGATTTAAGCACCATCCTGCGAGCCTCGAGTTTGACACCCCTGGTCCAAATGGACGGACAGTTGTGCGAATTGTGTGTGTTCACCCCACCCCTCTCTTTCCTTCCTCACAGTTGCGGGAGCTGGTCAGCATGTGTATCTACCCGGATCCAGACCAGAGGCCCGATATTGGTTACGTGCACCAGTTAGCGAAACAGATGCACCTCTGGACATCCAGCACTTGAAGCGCGTGGCTGCGCGTCCTGCGAGGAGAACCGTTCCCGGCTTAGTCTTACTTAACTTCTGTCTCAGACGAAACCATGCGGTGCCTCATCGAACTCAAAAACGGCTTTTGAGTTGAGTTGAGCCGCCTTTAGGGAGGATCCTTCCATGATTTCTGTACAGGTGCCTAGCGGGTGGATCTGATCCCAGCCACGGCTGTGCGATGCGGCAGCCAGCATTGGGTTGAGTTGCCTCTTCCGAAACCGGATAACATGTTACCGATGTAGATCTCGTTTTTTTTTTTTTAAAGATATTTTCTTCAAACTGTTTGTGTGTAATCTTAAGCTTTGTAGCAATGGTTTCTGGTTGGTGTATTTTTGACATACCCCTTGTATGTTTAACGAATGTGAAATAGCGGGGAAATGAATTCCTTTGGGAAAATCACTTTAATCCTAACGTTAAGAATCACAATACATTGTTTTATTTTTTTTTTCGGGGCGGGATGGGGGAAGGTGTAACGTGTATAACTGCTGCTTTGCTTCTTCTAGCAGTGGTTATTAGCAAGTTCAGATTTCAAGTTCGTGTATTTTTTTAAAAAAACAAAGACACCCAACCTGCATTTTTAAAAATTTTCGTTTGTATTTCCCTCCGTTGCAAGAAAGCGGTATGGAGGAGGAGGAGGCTGAATTTTTCTTTTTCAACAAATCTTAGAATGATTTATTTTGCAGCGTGTGTTGTCAGCTCTGGCTGCTCAAACCAGGGAGGGCTTTCGAACCAAAGGGAATGTTGTTGTGTTTTATCACATTTTTTTCTGGTTCGAGATTGCCACGGCCGCTGCCGCAGTGACTCCGTAGCCCGGTGAGTGGTTTGACTAAAGGCACTGGGGTACCATTCTGTAAAGCTCATCTCTGTAAAGCCAGGGTTGAACCCCCTAAAATTCAGGGCACCCCCACGGGCCTCGAAACTAGATAAGTCCGGAGGAAAATGGCTTTGAATTCCCAGCACGATGGCCTGCATTTTTTTTTTTTTTTTTACTGTGAAAACTCATTTACCAATGTGAATACTTTTTAAACAAGCTGATCTGAAGGAAAACAAAACAAAACAAAAAATCCAGACTTTAAGCGTTCCGGAGATGTTAAGGCTTAAAGGATTTTTTTTATTTGACGGAGCCTTAACTCTGGGACCGCCATGGCTTGCAAGCAGGATTTGGGGGGGGGGACCCTGCCTTGGGAGAGGAAGAGGTAGTCGTCATAAGCTTCTTTCTGGAGGCTACTTTTTAGAGGCAAAAGAAACGGCGAAGAAACGGCGGGAAATAAAACACAGTTTTTCTCTCTTGGAAAATGATTAAAGATACCTCTCTACTGGCAGGGTTTTTGCAGCTCCTGGGTCTTCGAAAAAGCGAATTAAGTCACCGGTTTGGGACAAAAGGTTTTAAAGAAGGCAGGGTAGGTGGGATGTGGGGGGTGACCAGAGGGCCCAGGAAAAGTTTCTCTTGAAGACTCTGCAAAACGGCTCTCAACTGCTGAAGCTTCTGCCGAAAACTTTCCTCCGCTCTGCAGGTGATATTTTTGGGGGGTTGGGTTGGGAACGCTACCTAGTCTTGGGGGTAATAACTTTGAAAAAGTTTTGGACTGTTGGGGGATTTCGGAAAGATAAATTGCTCGGCTCCACCTGACTGCGCGCTCTCTCTCTCTCGTGCGCTGTTAAGGCCTCCTCTTAGCGCTTAAGTCGTCATCCTTTTGACGAAAGGGATGGGGCGAAGGCAACTCTGCATTTTTAGGCAAGATTTAAAATGATTTACCAAATAAAAGTTTCCTTTGTAAAAAGAAAAACGGTCCTCGGCATTGAGTTGGCGTCGTCGAGGGGCTTAAAACTAGCACCTTTCACATTTTACTTCCCTCAAGCGGGACAGCGTAGTTAAATCCAGGTAGTCCTCCGACTTACGACCACAACAGAGCCCACATTTTACGTTGCTAAGTGAAGACGGTGGTTAAGGGAGCTTGGCCCCCTTTTTTATGACTTTTTCTTGCCACCGTTGTTAAGTGAATCACTGCAGTGGGTTAAGTGAGTGACACGGTCGTAACGCGAATCCGGTTCCCCCTGTTGTCTCGGGCCTGTCGGGATCTTTCGCCAATGACCAAGCGTCCGAATTTTGATCAGCTGGCCCGCGGGGATGCTTGCAACGGTTGTGTAAAGTGTGAAAAGCAGTTGTGGGTCATTTTTTTTTCTCAGGGCTGCCGTAACTCGGAACAGTCACTAAACGAAAGGTTACGTTGAGGATTTATTTGCACAGAGAACTGGGCTATGGATGGTCCCCACGCACCAGAGCTGGGGTTAGCTAACTACAATGTGCAATAACCCAACTTGGAAAAGTCACTAAGCGAAAGGTTATAAGTCAAGGACCCCCCTGTATTCAATCCCATAAAGCTTACACAACAGGTAGAGCAGGATGGGCTTGGAGACTCTTCCCTGCTGTCCTCCAAATTCCAAGAACAACCCATCCTGTTCCATTATTTGCTTTATTCATTTAATTGTTAACATTGCAAAAAAAAAATATTTTGACTTTGAAGGAATACACTCGGTCCCCCTAACCGTGTCCCGGACTCTCCGCCAGGAATCAGGAGGTGTCCATGGTCTGCACCGTCTCCTCTGCCACTTCCAGTTCCAGGCGGATGATCTTTTCCGACAGGACGCCCGTGGTTCCCTTCTCACACCGGTATCTTCCTTGCCTGTCGAGGAGCGAAAAGGCGGCACCGTCACAAAAACTTTGTGGGTCTGAGTAATTCTCACCAGGCTGCAGGCGTTACGCAGCTGGCAAGTAAGACTTTTTCCCCTAGAGAGATTTAGGGAATCTTGAGGACTAGAAACATATGCAGACTTTTCGTGCCTGTGCAAGATTCTCCATAGGTGATCCCAAAGGTTTTTTTTTTTCAAAAGGCGATTGGACTTTTTCCCCCCCCTCCTTGAGGGGGTTTCGCTTCTCATCTGAGCAGCTTCTTCAGTTCTAGCAGAACATGAACCCTTCCCACGGACCCAACCGTTCAGTCAGAACTGGAGGAAGCTTCTGAGATGAGAAGCGAAAGGTCTTCAAGCAAAAACAAAGGAAGTCCATTTGCCTTTTGGAAATTTGCCCCTTTGGCAAATTTCCTTCATGCCTCTCCTTCGGGAGCCTTCGCGACCACTGTGGGAGGAAAGGGGCTTTTCCTCTCGCAAGATGACGGGGGTCGCCAAGGGTTTTGCAAGACGGGTCACGAAAATAAGGGCAGGTTGATACCACTACAAACGTTTTCAGCAGCAGTGGGTTTCACATTTTATCACTGGTTCGCCGTGTGAACACACTTTGCTTGTGCGCAGACCTTCTGCGCGTGCAACCAGCCTCAAAAACGTGCCTAAATAGGACAGCATAACACGGGGGCAGGTCCACGAGTGAGCTCTGCTACTGGTTCACCCAAACCGGTCCAAACCGGCGATCTCCGCTACCAGTTCCCCAGAACCAGTCCAAACCAGCGATCTCCGCTATTGGTTTGCCCGAACCGGTCCAAACCAGCGATCTCCGTTACCAGTTCCCCCGAACCAGTCCAAACCAGCGATCTCCGCTATTGGTTTGCCGAACCGGTCCAAACCAGCGATCTCCGCTACCAGTCCCCCGAACCAGTCCAAACCAGCGATCTCCGCTATTGGTTTGCCCGAACCGGTCCAAACCAGCGATCTCCGCTACCAGTTCCCCGAACCAGTCCAAACCAGCGATCTCCGCTATTGGTTTGCCCGAACCGTCCAAACCAGCGATCTCCGCTACCAGTTCCCCCGAACCAGTCCAAACCAGCGATCTCTGCTATTGGTTTGCCCAAACCGGTCCAAACCAGCTATCTCCGCTACCGGTTCGCCCGAACCAGTCCGAACCAGCTGAATACCCTCTGGTTTTCAGGCCGCATTCTAGACAGGACCTTCACGTGGCCAGTTCAGCGTCATGTCCCACAGCCTGAATTCCTTCGTGGTAGCCTTGGTCATCCGATGCATCGATTCATCGTTTGCAGACTATCCCAAAGGTGCTTTTTCAAGAGGCGACTGGACTTTTGTTTTTCCTTTGAAGATGTTTCGCTACTCATCCAAGAAGCTTCTTCAGCTCTGACTGGATGGTGGGAAGGATTTATATTCAGTCAGAACTGAAGAAGCTTTTTTTGCATGAGAAGTGAAAGGTCTTCAAAGAAAACACCAAGAAAGTCCAGTCGCCTGTTGAAACAAGGATGGCCGAGAATCTCCATAGACGTTCGCAGGCTACCTTAGACAGCTAGTCCTTGAGTTACAACCGCAATTGAGCCCAACATTGATGTCGCTAAGCGAGACATTTCTTAAGTGAGCTTTGCCCCCATTTATACGACTTTCCTCGCCAGTTGTTAAGCAGATCACTGCATCTGTTAAGTTAGGAACACGATTGATTGACCCTGGGACACTGTAACTGTCGTAAGTATAAACCAGTTGTTTTGCTCCGTTTTACGACCTTTCTCACCACGGTTGTTAAGTGAATCGCTTGCCGTCGTTAAGTTGGCCACCCGGTTGTAAAGCAAATCCGGCTTCCCCCATGGACTTTGCTTGTCAAAAGGTCACAAAAGGGGATCGTGTGACCCCAGGGCCAGCAAACGGTCGTAAGTATGAGTCAGTTACCCAACAAGCTGAATTTTGATCACGTGACACCCCCCTGGGGATGCTGCAACGGTCGTAAGCGTGAACAACAGTTGTAAGTCACTTTTTTCAGTGTCGTCGTAACTTTGAATGGTCACTAAATGAACTGTTGTACGTCAAGGACTACCTGTGGTGGTTATTGTGCTCAGATTTCTCATCCCATTTCCAAGGCCTTCAGACTGCTCTCCCCAAGGAGGCCTTTTGCAGATCCATTGCAACCCTTAAGCAAAACCCTTCTGGTTCACACACACACACACAAAACTCACCTTTCCCCCTTTTTGTTCGGTGTGTTGTACGGACGGATGAAGTCCAGCTTGCTCTTGTTAATGACGCAGATATCAATATTGCTGCCAGAGCCCAGGTCATTAAATATGCCAGCTGCAATAGCATCTCTCACAAGGTGTTTGGCTTCTTCTTCCTGGGGGTGGGGGGGGGGTAGGGGAAAGAGGGAGGGAAAAATAGCAATAGCACTTAATAGACTTATATACTGCTACACAGGGCTTCAGAGCCCTCTCTAAGCGGTTTACAGAGTCAGCCTCTGGCCCCCGACAATCCGAGTCCTCATTTTACCGACCTCGGAAGGACAGGCTGAGTCAACCTTGAGCCGGTCAGGATTGAACTCCTGGCAGTTTATTTTATTTTTATTTTATTTTATATTGGATTTCTATACCGCCCTTCTCCCTAAGGACTCAGGGCGGTGTACAGCCAGATTAAAAAAACATGCAGAACAAATATTAAAAACAATTAAAAGATATATAAATTTGGCCCAATTAAAACTCATTTACCAATTAAAAACGTTTAAAACATTTAAAAACAGTTAAAATTTCATCTTAAGCCAGCCCGGCTTGTTTAAAATAAATGGGTTTTAAAGGCGCGACGGAAGGCACTGAGGTCTTGGATTCTCCTTATCTCTGGGGGGAGCTGATTCCAGAGGGTGGGTGCCCCCACAGAGAAGGCCCTGCCCTGGGTCACCAGCCTGCATTGTTTGGCTGATGGCACCCCGAGGAGGCCCTCTCTGTGGAGCGCACGGGTCGCTGGGAGGCCGTCGGTAGCAGTAGGTGGTCTCGAAGATGCTAGGCCCTATGCCATGGAGCGCTTTAAAGGTGATAACCAACACCTTGAAGCGCACCCGGAAGACAACTGGAGCCAGTGCAGCTCGCGCAGGAGCGGTGTTACATGGGAGCGCCATGCTGCTCCCTCACTACCCGCGCTGCTGCGTTCTGGACCAGCTGGAGCCTCCGGTTGTACGGACGGATGAAGTCCAGCTTGCTCTTGTTAATGACGCAGATATCAATATTGCTGCCAGAGCCCAGGTCATTAAATATGCCAGCTGCAATAGCATCTCTCACAAGGTGTTTGGCTTCTTCTTCCTGGGGGTGGGGGGGGGGGTAGGGGAAAGAGGGAGGGAAAAATAGCAATAGCACTTAATAGACTTATATACTGCTACACAGGGCTTCAGAGCCCTCTCTAAGCGGTTTACAGAGTCAGCCTCTGGCCCCCGACAATCCGAGTCCTCATTTTACCGACCTCGGAAGGACAGGCTGAGTCAACCTTGAGCCGGTCAGGATTGAACTCCTGGCAGTTGGCAGAATTAGCCTGCAATGCTGCATTCTAACCACTGTGCCACTATGGCAGATAGATGGATGGATGGATGGATGGATGGATGGATGGATTAGAGAGAGAGAGGGATGGATGGATGGGTGGGTGGATTAGATAGAGAGAGAGGGATGGATGGATGGATGGATTAGATAGATATAGAGATGGATGGATGGATTAGATAGAGAGAGGGGGTATGGATGGATGGATGGATGGATTAGAGAGAGGGAGGGATGGACGGATGGATGGGTGGGTGGATTAGATAGATATAGAGAGAGGAATGGATGGATGGATTAGATATAGAGGGAGGGAGAGATGAGAGAAATAGAGAGAGAGGTGTGTAGATATATAAAAGAGAGAGAGAGAGAGAGAGAGAGAGAGAAACAGACAGACAAACATACATACATACATACAAACAATACAATTCTTTATTGGCCAAGTGTGATCGGACACACAAGGAATTTGTCTTCCACTTCACAAAGCTTTACAGCCCTCTCTAAACGGTTTACAGAGTCAGCCTGTTGCCCCCAACAATCTGGGTCCTCATTTGACCAAC